AAAGTAGAAACCCTGAATATGACAGTAAGCTTAGGAAGAACTTGGAACTTGAGTGAAATTGCATACCCTGTTTATGTTAAGAAGCTCGAGAAACCATACTCTGTTCAGCGGATCATCCTCGTATAGTCCATATATTGGAGTACCCCCCCGGGGCTTGGGCGTAGTATCTTCCCATTTTAAACCATATGTCATTCTCTTTAGAATAAGATTCTTTGTTTGAGTCGTATCCATATTTATGTGTCTTTTCATATGTGACCATTAAACAAAGAAATGATACTCTAGGAAATGGCATGTGGTCTTGAATGGAAAAACATTACGCCCAAGCCAAAAGGGTCAATAGTCCTCTTCACAGTTCCCTGCACCATCTTGAAAGGTAGCCATGCCTTTGCATGGAAGGGAGACGAACAATGAGCTTGTCCAAGCTGTTAAAAAAGTCTATCATTGCAAGCTCACCTTTCATCTGGCTTCGATGCAAAGGCACGGCTACCTTTCAAGATGGCGCAGGCACAGGTAGCCCAAGCTTGGTTTCTGTGGTGTCCTGTTATAAGGAAATGTATGGGGATTCATCAAAAATTTCAATAAAATCATCAAAACGTGACATAAAGCCTCGAAATTTTACCCTATCATTGAGAAATAGCACTTCTTTCGCCCGAGGTCACGCCGGAAGTCTTCGTATCGTATATGCGGATTGGATTGGGATATAGTCTTTCTTCGAAATTATAAGTTAAATACTTTTGTATCCTAGGCCGTTAAAAAATACACTCACCATAATTTCGAAGAAAGACTATATCCAAATCCAATCCGCATGTACGATACGAAGACTTCCGGCGTGACCTCGGGTCGGTTGCCGAAAGAAATCCGTTGAACTGGTGTACAGTGAGCTCCAAGTACGGGTCAGAACAAGCGAGGTAGTATGTGAATACAGGCAAATTTCATGGCTTAAAGACGCGAAGACTAATCTCTAATGCGACTTTCTCGGTTCTGTAGAGATGTGAGAGAAGGGTCATGACTAAAATTTGGCACTGGAAAGAAAATTTGAAGACGTACGAGGTTTCAAAGACTCGTGATGGTTCGCTTTTGGGACTCGAGTTTCCAACCTTCTCTTTTTTCTTACTGGTGGGGGAAAAAATCCTTAAAATGGGCTAAATTCAAAAAATAACCACACAGAGCGAAAGAAGTGCTATTTCTCAATGATAGGGTAAAATTTCGAGGCTTTATGTCACGTTTTGATGATTTTATTGAAATTTTTGATGAATCCCCATACATTTCCTTATAACAGGACACCACAGAAACCAAGCTTGGGCTACCTGTGGCGCAGGGAACTGTGAAGGGGACTATTGCAATTGAACTAACTGCTCCCCCTACACTTACATCATAATACATACAAGAGAGCCTGACATTTCTTTTCTCTTTCTTCTTCCAGGTTATTTCACACAGCACCAAGTGTTCCTCACTATTCCAGTATGTAAAACCATCTGTAAATATTACAATGAAATATTCATGCAAATATCATGAATAATTGTCAAGCAAAGCCAATGCGTAACTAAGGAGCGTTTTTCTACTTTTCCGATCAAAATCATGAAAATTAAATACTAAACATTCATATTTAAACTAAAAGAGGCTGTTTGCTGGTATTTTTGTTTGGTTTAGGCTATTTTTAAAAAATATCCCAAAAAGTCGCTTAGGCCATTTTCATTTTCATCCCTTCAATTACAATTGATACCAATTTGTTCGAGGTACATTTTCCTGTTAGTCTCCCACTCACGATATGATCAGTTCATCGTGGCTGATCATGATGTGTAACTTAATTAAGGGTTGGGAATTGGAGAATTCTCTGATAAAATTGAGCAAATTTTCTCTGGTTTAATCTACCATCTTCTATTCTTCTTGGCCAATTAGAATTGACTTTCTAACCACAAGATAACAGAAAGATAACAATTACTCTTCTGATTGGCTATTGAACATTCTTGAAATATTTCTAGGTTTTTCGCCCACGGTTTTTCGATTCGCACATCTGTAATAGCTTAGTAATTTTAAAAAATGCCAGTTCGCAGGACTCTCCAGCTAGTTCATGATCTTCGCCTATCAACTCAAAACTTCAAAACTTGAAGAGTGGTTCTTAACCACTGGGGGCTGAACCACTGGATACCAATGAAAACCCTGCTGACTTTCAATATTGGTCACCTGTATGTTTCAATCTAACATTTACCCAAGTTGTTCATCTTCTTTTTCTCTCTATAGAAAACAAAGCTGTTGGAGTCATGAAACCAGGACATACATTTACTATTGAGCCTATGATCTCTCAAGGTAATTATTCTACACGTTCTGGCAGTAGATTTTTGTATGACTGTGAAACGGTACAGCACCTCCCTAAAACTTTGCAAATCCCCCCCCAAAATGTGCTAATTCAGGCATTACTATGGAAATGCCTTATAAGTTTTCCTGAGAGATCCGGTCTCAAAAACAACCACCTCCTGCTGGGTCCATATTCATTAAACTTCATTTCTTCTAGGCACCTGGAGAGATGAGACGTGGCCAGACAGATGGACAGCTGTCACTCAAGATGGTAAACGATCAGCACAGTTTGAACATACTTTGTTGGTTACAGAAACAGGTTGTGATATCTTAACTGCACGTCTAGAAGAAAATGGAGCCCCACATTTCAAGTCACAAATGTAAAGTCCGAGAATTTAACTAGACAATACAGTATTGTGGTATGGCCCTGTCTTGAATTGCTGTTGTAGTATACGAAGTTTTAATGCAAAAGGAACCATCATTTCCCAAATAATTTGTTTCCTCAACTTCACACGGTGAAAAAACATTCAAGTTTGATAAGCAAAATTGGGGGTCACCATTTTTTATATTTTTGGTACATTAACAACTTATCTAATTCTTTATAAATTGCTCAAAAAAAATGGGTCACCAATGTTTTTCTTTAAGATTTAGCCGATCATTTTTTTAATGAGTGTAAGAGCTTGATCTTGGAAAAAACCATGTGCCCAGAACAGATGTGCACAAACAATAGTTGAACATCCTAAAACAGTGCTTCTGTAAGAAATATCAAAATCAATTGCAACTCAAAAACAACTTTGGCATTCAAAGTTAGGAAACTTAATTTTTATCATGGAATACAGGTAGAGCTATTTAGCTTGTGCATGATGTTCTTTCCATTTCAGAACATTTGTCATTCTCAGGTACTTATGTATGTGTCTCACAACCATTAAACAGAGACATGATACTCAAGGGAATGACACATGTTCTGAAATGAATGGGAAAACATTAAGACTGGTCTACTTCTTTAGGTCATTATATTATGCTCAATAACACAATATTGGACTAATTGATCCTATACTTAGTTTTTATATTATGATTATGGAAACAAACTACTCTAGCTATAGTATAGTAGTTATGAAATATGCGTTCAGTGTGAGTAATGAAATAGAGAATAAGAGAAAAATATCAAATGATGTTTTTTCTCTTATTCTCTATTGTAGCTATAGTGAGATTGTAAGATTACATCAAATAAGACTCAACATCATTGTTCTGAAAATCTTCTATTTTATTCCAATTTATTTCATTTTCTTTAGCAATCAATTTATTAATTAACTACAGTATAGTATAGACAATGATCAACATGACTAGGGTTTAACCAGTTTCTTGGAGAGCTTGATATGTAAGACGGAACACACCTGTGAGAAAGAAAACAGCGTTTAAAAATGTGTCATTAAAGGCTGATATTTGCTAGTTGAGGAGGAAAGCGATTGATGGTCTGTGTTCCTATGGGGACGATGGGCTTAAGTAAGTAACGACTGATAATATGACAAGATGAATTATTCTGCTTAGCATTTGTAGTTTTTTAAAACTTGATAATCAATAAAAAAAATTCAAGTAAAAAAAAATTTATAACTAAGAAAAGCATATACAGGTGTCAAAAATTATTCTACACATAGTGAAATGACAGTCAACTTTGTACCGGAGGTAGCCAAAGCTCTGTTTGTGGTAGCCTTCAAATAACCAAGAATACCTGTTATTTTCATTCCATTATCAAATTGGAATTTAGAAATTGATTTTTATGGAGGGAGGGAAAAATGGCTGTTGAGCATGCCCTGAGACCAAAACCCCTCATGTGTAAGTGACCTTAAAGAGTATAATTATCAAGGAAAAATGTGGTCTTCTCTTTTCAGAGATATAAACATTAAATTTGAAATATCAATAACTTTGCAAATGAGATGACGTAAATTCCATTGTTACGTTTCGCAGTGTAAATTATGACAAGTGTTCTGAAGTGAAATAACCTAAGTAAACTACTTAAAAGTAGTTTGAAAATCATCCTTATAACTGAAATATATAGTTTTAAATACTTTTAGGTTCAGAACACTAAACTAAATTAAACTGCAAAACGTAACATTCTTGAATTTATGTCATCTCATTTGCATATTGATATTTCAAATGTTTATATCTTTGAAAAGAGAAAACCACATACAAAGATACTGCAACCATGCTACTACACTGTTCACATATAAGTGATTTTGAAAATAAGAATTTTCCCTTGATATACATTTTAAATGGATATTGTTGAATCCTAAACGTGATGGTGCTAGATCACAGTGTGCTAGTGTACCGACAAGTATGATCAAAATGGGAGATAATAATAATAGTGTTGATACTCACACTCCTTCATCCTTACATGTGGACAATTGAACGAATACTAAAAATAAATTAAAATAAAATAGTTACATGTATTGTGTGTAATAGAGATTAAGCTAGCAACTGTAGATCCTATTTATCAGATTTCATGAGATTTAGGACCTTTGAATTGGTTGGTCAATGTACTTTGATGTCTGGGAACCGGCTATATATAAAAGGTTAGGTAATGTATGAATGCTTACTGTGATATTTCTCAATAAAATTACGAGTTGTCTGTTAAAATTTCTTTGTCACTGCCACCAGTTACAAATATAAAAGATACAGCCTGATAAGTTTTAATTAATGGCAGCAAAAAACAAATATTGTTGCAAGCCATTTAAATGTCTGAGTTTGCAGAATATTGAGAAATTGCAGTAATGTCAAAATATAACATTGTTTGTGCTAGTAGACCCAAACATACCTCTCGCCTTTGTGCATCAGATCAAAGGCTTCATTGATTTTATCCAGAGGCATGTTGTGAGTAATGAACTCATCTACTTTTAAAGTTCCAGCAAGATAATCATCGACAAGCTTGGGAACACCATCACCACTTTTGTAGCCTGGATATCAGTAAAAGCAAAATACTGTAAATAAAAACAAACTACACAATTTGGCAAGGTTACTAGATTTACACAGAAATTTTCATTTATACCTAGTTCCAAATCTAAATATAATTTTGTAGTTGATTTTTGAAGACAGAGAGAAACCAGAGAAAAGCCCTTGAAGCACAGGAGAGAACCAACAAACAACTCTACTCGCATACAATGTGGAGTCTGGAGAATGAACCCAGGTTGCATTGGTGGGAAGCAAGCCTTCTCACCATTACACCACTCCAAGAATTGTCCATACCCCCCCCACGGAGGAATTTTTTTAAGACACCCCCCTACCCCCAGAAATTGCAATTATCTTCCATACAAACTCTGTCATTTTTGTTCTTTCTCTGACACCCCTGCTCTTCGGATATTCCAAATTCCTCTGTGGGGTGGGTAAGGACAATTTCTACTACACATTCTTTAATATTAAAAAAAAACCTAGGAAAAGGATTACATCAGACTAAATAACACAACTTTCTTCCTTTCTTCCTGAAATAAAACATTATGGGAACCCTACTCTAATAATGATACCTCCAAAAGCTGTTCCTTTCCACACACGTCCAGTAACAAGCTGGAATGGACGGGTGGAGATTTCCTTTCCTCCTGCAGCAACTCCAATAATGACTGATGTGCCCCAGCCCTTGTGACAAGCCTCCAATGCTTGACGCTATTATAAACCACAATAAAATTATTCATTATATGCATGACTGCAGTATTTACTCAGACTTTTCATTATAAAAGCTGGGTCAAGTATTATGGTTAGAGAAAATAAGTTGATACAAGAAAGACGTTATACAGCATGTGCCATATCCATGAAACGAATCAAAGATGCATTGTCTGCTTTTGTAGCTTTTTTGTAAAAAATATTGGATATTACTGTAGGCAGAGTGTTCATTGGGAGCAAAAGAAAATACCTTTACACTTTTTTGTTTGGTTCATGCCTGAGCAAATAGTTGATAATTTTTTTTTTCTCTTAAATTTAAAGCGCTTCCTGGTTATATCAATTGTTTTACCATTGGTGTGCACTCTAGCTTGAGTAGTTAATTTCCATTAGATAGATAGCTATAGATAACTTTATTTAACGTCAATATGTACAGTGAGCCAATGCCTCTTTACAAATACATTCGAGCCGATATATTTAATATATTGATATATTATTTGGAGACTTGAGGAATAGAGTACTCAAGTGACGTCACAAAAAGTGATTTTCGCTTGATCATATTTTTGGTTAACAAATTTGATAGAATCAGAAAAGATGTTTACACACCAAATTTGATGAGGATTGGACAAATATCAGCTGAGATATGACCAGGCTTTTGAATATATAATTACTCCATACTAATCACTGTATTTTTGGCTCCGTTCCAAACACCTGATTCTTGTCAAATTTGATGTGTAAAGGTATTTTTTGATTGTCTATAGAAATTAGAGATCGAAAATAATTAAATTGACGTCACACTTGAGTACTCTATTGTTGGGGCATGAGCCTTGGTTTCTACATACCATAGTGTTAACATTACCAATGCACTCAAATGTGTAATCAAGACCACCATCGGTCATTTCAACTAAAACCTTAGATACACAAAAAAAGAAAAACATTAGGTACCAACCAACATCATAGGGGTACCCCTAATTTCACATCTTTCCTCTCCCCCCTCCCCCATCACAATAAGTAATAGACCTAATCAGCTAATGTGTTGCTATGTACGTTACCACCCAATTCAAACCACATGGGAATAAGTTTCATTGTTCGTTATATTTTGGTTTCAGAGTTGAATTTGTAGAGACAAACGCTTCTATTCCCAGAAGGTTTGAATTGGGTGGTAACGTACATAGCAACACATTAGCTGATTAGGACTATGAAGTATTGCTTCCAAAGAATACATGATAGGGTCATTTTACTACCACTACCAAAATGCTTTGCGAATTTTCTTTCTTCAAATTATTTTATATTTCCTCATGAAAATAGTACATGTAAGTCAATTGCTTTCAATTAACTGAACAAAAGAAAGTGTGCAAAGGAGTATGGTAGTGGTAGTAAATGGCGTTTATACAAGTGAATTATTGATTTCAATTTTATGGTCTTTTATATAGTTTTGTTCCTTCAGACAAAATTTCTATCATTGAAATGCAGTTTTTAGTATCTATTATAATAATCACTTACCTCTTGAGTGGGCTTGTCATAATCCTTGGGATTCAAACATTCTGTTGCACCAAACTGCTTGGCTGTAAACATTGTCCAACGTTAATGAAATAATGTATGTACACTGACTCTCAAGAGATATGTACAGGAGTACCCCCTCCCCCCCCTCAACCCCCAATAGACCTTATCCGTGGTGTGACAATGTCTTCCCAATTCAGCACGACAAACCTCCAGAGGATTCATTTTCTCTTGTTTTTACTCTAAGAAAAATTTATGAGTATCCCAAAGGATACAAAAGGAATAACGATGATATCCCGACGAGTTTCAAAACAATAGCTGATCATTCACGTAGAGGTTTGTCACATTCAATTGGAAAAAAATGGGTACAACATGAATATTATGGTCTATTAAATGCATATGAGAGCAAAAATATTCAAACTTGCTACCCTCAAATAAGCGCTGTCCCCTGGATAAGCACTCTAACCGAAAAACAAAATTTAAAGAGCTCCACTGTGTTTAACTAATCCCTGCTGTGTATAGCCATAGCATATCTGTCTTGTAACCACTTTAGAAGTATCTCATAATTACCCAGCATAAACTTTGTAGGATTTATGTCAACTCCAATGATTCTTGTTGCACCAGCAACCTTACACCCCATAACTGTTGCCAGTCCAACAGCACCAAGTCCCCATACAGCACAAGTTGAACCTGGCTCTACCTGATAATGTAGATGAAAAAGCAAAGAGTAAAAACATGAATAGAATAAAACAGAAAAAAAGAGGAGGGAAGGGAGAAAAAAGAAAATAAGGGAAATAGAGAGAAGGAAATAGTAGAGATAGAACAGACAAGAAGAAAAAAAGGGAGAAGAGAAGAGAAGAGGAGAGAAGAGAAGAAAAGAGAAAAGTAGGGCAGAGTAGAGAACCGAAGAGAATGGAAGAAGAGATGAGATGTGACGAGAAGAAGAGACAAGAAGAGAAAAGGAGAGTAGAGCAGTGCAAAGCAGAAGAGAACAGATCAAAACAGAAAGGAACTGAAGAGAAGAGACAAGATATGACATACATGAGGAGAAAAAGAGAAGAGAGGAGATGAGAAGTGACCATATGTGGCATGGCATGACGTGACATGACGTGACAAGAAGAAGAGAAGAGAGGAGAAGGGACGAGATGATAAAAGAGAAGAGAAGTTTAAAACCAGGCTTTACCCAACAAAGAAATGTTCAAAAAGAGAAAAGAATTTGAGAACAGATAAAAACATAATTAACTTCATTACTTTAGCAGTATTTAGTGCAGCACCATATCCGGTGGATATACCACAACCAAGTAAACACACTTTATTTAGTGGAGCTTTCTCATTGACCTGAGGAAATCAAATTATACATTGGATATTTGACTTTTAAAATGCCTATAAAATTACGCTCACTCTGGGACAGGGTATATGAATTCAC